TTTTAATATTTGGTTGGTCCAGCCATTTTTCTTCGCTGATCGTCTCAATCATTCCAGCAATGTTTTTCTTCTTCAACCTTCGCCGATTTGTCTTGAAATTACCAGTGATCGAACAAAGTGCTTGAACTTTCCCTGACATTCTCCTGGCGTGTTTTAACTGTGACTCAGACGAAGCATCGGATTTCTCTCATTTATTTGAACAAATCGATTCTTCCGATTCGAAACTGCCCTTGCTCTGGACCCACCTGGTCTAACACTCACCGTATTTTTTCGATAACAGCCTTCTCTCTACTGAGCCTCTACTCTGTATAGGCCGCCTTTCGCTCTGAGCGCTGAGATTTTTTCTCAAGAAGAAACCTGTCTCATTTACTCCTTCCACTTTTTGCTCTACGTCCGTGCAAATTTCTCGGCCAGTTTACCAGGTAAGATTTCGAGTTGGTGTTGCTGCAAATAAAAAACCGGAAAACGGCCACCGCAATGGGTGTGTTCGTAGTCGCGCACGTCGCCAGATGTCTATGCAGCCATATGAATAAATGCGGCTTATACCAAAGCACATACACTCCACATCCCACAGATGGAGTGGGCGTGGCTACGTACTTCGAACATATGATAAGATGCATCGTTCGTAGGATAGTTCCATTTGATGCAAGTGTTATCGTGTCTTGTTCTAAACAAATTAGTTGTTGCGACTATTCTGAAACTGCTATATCTCACTAAAAGCGCAGCTGCCGCTACGTTCAAATAAGGTACGCAGTCACGGACTCCCCATCTCAGGGATATGGAGTGTACGTGAGGTGATTTAGTTTTCTTTAAGCGCTTCTCTGCCAACTCAGATCATTGAAAAATCACTAACTACTTGTCATAGTTAATCATTTTCCCTTGCAGACAATATGAAGGGCTTCGGTGACGGAAAAGTGGAGCTTCAGAACGCCAAATCCTCGCTATGCATTTTGTATTTTTATTTATCTCCCCGTTTCCTGAATTTATCTGTCCGCAGCATGTTCCCAGTGGCAAAGTATGTCTGGATTTTCATGGAGCCAGTTTAGATCCTCGGGCTTCCTCCAGGAGCGTGACAGCTGCATAACTATAAAGTCGTGCATGCCTGAGCACTCGAAATAACTTCATCTTTTCGAATTGTGAAGGCATTTTGTAAAACAATCACAAACACCTGCCTACGTAATGCTTCAGTGACCAGAGCTCCGGGGCCAAAGCTAGACCCCCACCCCAGTTAGACATCTAAGGCTCAGCATTGCCTGAGCGCTGCACCGCTGTGTCCCATGAAGTTGTAGCTCTCCTTTATTGATTGGCTTGCGTTCAACGCCGCTTTGTCAGAGTGAATTTGCATTATTTTAATTGAGTCTTTCACCTTGCGATCGCTAGGCTTGATGACGTTGTCTGTTGCCAGTTGAATATGTCAGATACGCAGCACCATGAGATTCCTCTCACATTTCCTGGTCGTTTCCTACCAAATGGTCTCATAGAGAGTCAACCGTTTGTCGTCGGCAAAATAGCAGATGGCATTCGTATTGGGGACGTCATCCATCTAGCCCTCATAACAATGCATGAGCTGAGCAGGCAACCAGGGCGCATCGTTGTTGGGGATTCCCCGAGAGAAAGGGAGGGGGGTCGTCTTTGATCGACGGAGGGGTCGTATTTGGTCTGAGAAGAATTTTTTGATAGTTTATTTTTCTTGTCCCACGGACGCTATGAGGGGGGGGGTCGTATTTGCGCGTGTTGGGAAGGAGCGGGGCGTATTTATCTTCTGATAAGAGAGGTTGTTGATTTCTCAGGGTTTTTCTTTGTTTCACCTTTGTTATATGACCTTTCCCCGCTCGACAGCAAAATTTTAGGGAGAACTAAAAATTTTTTGGGAATTTCCGGAAAAACTGGTAGGAAGCTGAGAAAATCCAAGAAAAGGTAGCTACAGTGGGAAGAGGAGGTCGTATTTTCTCTCTGGTTTTTGCCCACTTCACATGTGCCGGTATGACCCCCATCCCTCTCCTCGTCCCCCCACTCTCGACAGCTCGATCGCAGGTAGGGGCAGAAACTGCGAGGGGGCGAGGAAAGGGGGCGAAGGCCATATCAAGTCACAGTTAGAGGGGGGGGGGTCGTACGAACTCGACCGAAATCCCCAACTAAAGATTTCCCTTGCAGGCGACTCTCCTTCTGTCCGGTAGAATAGTCCAACCCTACATCAGGACTGGCTGCCTACACAACAAAGAAGGGCAAAAAACGGGCTGTCTGTCATTTCGTTTGAAATCTAAAAATTTGAAACACTTTCAGCAATGAATTGCCTTGGCTGAGCGAACATTTCAGGTAAATATGAGCCTTCTTTAAGGCTTCCTATTGAGTGTCAGGGCAACATCCTTTACGGATATGTTACGGATATACCACGTTCAATGTCCTCTCGGTATAGGTATGAAGGAAAAGGCAGAAAATTCTGAACAAAATTCATTTTTCAGTGTATTCCCCATAACCTCAGTACACTATTTTGCTCCAGGAACTAACTCTTCGTACTCATATTTTTCCTCCTTGTCCCCAAAACGTGCGTTAATTGCTGCCTTCAGCTCTCCATTGTCAGAAAAACGCTTTCCACGGAGATCTTTTTTTCAGGTTGGGAAACAAGAATAAATCACTAATTATTTTCTCAATTCTCTTTTCTTTCTCAATCTTCTTTTCATTTTTCTCAATTTTTTAAAATCAGTAATCATTTTCTCAACATTGTCGCATCAGTCATTCTGGTCTTCTTTCACCAAGGATAACTAATAGCATTGATGATAACTAAATGAAATACTGTAGTTATACCCTCAGGAAGTGTCGTTACCTATTGAAATGTTTCAAATTCTTTTGCCACTGCTAAACTACCCCGATACTGAGAATATTTTGAATGGCCCTCGTAGAAGTCTTGACAAAATGTTCGAAATGTCAGCTACTGCAAAGAATGTTACGTGCCTTTTCACTCCCACTTCCTCCCCCGTCACTTTTTTTGTGCAAAAATGTGTCCGTGTGAGAGCATGTGGAACCTGGTGAGAGATGGGCAACATTTTAATGTTTTTCTATATTGCTGTGAAGTTTTCGTGTCCATCTACTGCATCGCACACGGACGGACAGCTTTCAACTGAAGTAGTTTAATGTGTCTGCGATGCTGCTTGAAATGTTGGCCACATTACAACGTGAAATGAACGGAATTCCGATGTGAAGGCGGGATGAAGAAAAAAAAACGGAATGCTGATTTAGTGTACAATCAGTACAATAGCGACGTTGCGGCGTGGCTGTTGGCGTGATGGCTGCGGCCATAAATGCCTAGCCAGTTCGCAAACAGGACTTGCATGCAATTCGATTACATTCGCTCTCTAACTCACTCAATCCCTCAGTGAAATGAGTTTGGCTGTCGTTTGATGATGATGAGGATGATGATGATGATGATGTCCTCTTCAATTCGTCAAAAGTATCATTGATTGGCCGATATTCAGTTCATAAATTATATTCGATTCAATAACGGTGCAAAAAATGACGTGCCAGTGAATCATCACCCTTTCCATTTCAGTCCTTCTCCGGATTGAAGCTCATTTTCATCTGGCCAATTTTAATCAGAGATTGCGCATTGGCTTTCACTCAAGAACGTCTCATATTGCTCTCTTCTCTCATCTTAGCGCTTTTCGTAGCGATTTTTTTCTCAACCCGTTCTCCTTTCCGCTATATATTCTCCCTGGAAGGATAAAGAAAATTCTCCCAGCGTTGATCAATCCCTTTTGGGATGCAGGGAGCAGTCTACTTTCATCCGGAATCGTAACGGTTTCAGGGCACACCATCGCTGAGAATAGCCCAACAGAGCGGGGGAGGGTCGTATTTGCCTCTGGCTTTCTGAGAGGGGCTGTAGACTTTTCGCGGTTTTCTCTGTTCCATATGTTCTACATACTCCCGCCTCCTTCCCTCCTAACCCCCTCAATCATCGAAATTTTTGGGCAAAGTAGGAAAATTTCGGGAAATTCCAGAGAAACTGGTAGGAAGTTGGTAACATCCAAGAAAGTGGTAAGGAGGGGGTCGTATTTTCCCCGCGGTTCTCCCGTTTCACATGTTTTACATACCACCCTCAACAGCTCGACGAGGATGGA